TTAAAACTCCTTTATTTGTTATCAAATCCTTAAAATCCGTAGAAAAAACAGTGATCAAAAACATTCTAAGCTTGAGCGGTCAGCAAAAGTCGACTTCCCCCATCACCCACTCATTCACAAAAATTCCCTCGGGACGTGAACAGGTGATATAGCAATCACCATTACTATTACCGACACCACGTGACCCAAAGCTACGCCTATCCACAACAGGTGTGAATGACAGGGCAAATGGCTATCTGTCTCTCTGTGTTAGCCATGTGAAACACCAGTGACCTGTGCAGGGTGTACCCTGCCTCTCACCCTACGGTAGCTGGGATAGGCTCCAGGCTTCCCCTGATAAGGATAAGTGGAAGAGAATGGATGGAAGCTAAAATTGTAACTTTTTTCTTTGTTTGGGTTCCATACCTGTTGGTAACAAGGTCAACGAGGTGCTGTTTGAACATATAGCTCCACTTTTTGATTATGTTGAGCAAGGCACTCTTCATGCTACGGCCATCCACCCTCATCCACCTGAGGAACACATGCACTGGCTCCAGAGCCTGCACCTCTTCATATATCTTCTCATAACTACAGGACAAAGACAAACCGATGGCAGTTTAGCAAAAACAAGCTATTACGTTTATGCTCAACTGAAAACAAAACCTTAATCCAGATTTTAGATGAATTGCTTTAAGATATGACTTAAAAATGTCCTCAGATGAACATGTAACATACACCACATTCCTCTTGAGTAATGCCTACCTGTTAACCTGCTCTCTAAAGTTTCCCAGACTTGGTGGACTCTCAGAGACACTATTGTCAGGATAAATCTCCATCTCCTGGTTGGTGAGAATCTGGCCGTACAAAAGGAACTGACGCATGAACTCCTTCCTGTCTTCCACATACAGGTAGCTGTAACGCTCCAGAGAGTTGCGAAACTCGCAGCACGTTGCCATGGCCGCCTGGATCCGCTCCATGATGAGATTACGCATGTCTGCCAGGTCAGCCATGTCCTCCATGTCAGCCTGAGTGAAAAATGTCCAGATTAAATCTTAATGTGACCAGCTACATGTGTTGGAGTTGCATGAAACTAGTTGTACCTGGTAGTTTGGAGAGGGGCTATGCTGGGCGAGGCGTGGCACCAGTGAAGAAATTCCAAACACATCATTGATGAGGCCTTCCACCAGCTCAAACAAACTTTCTCTAGTCCCAACCTCCAGAGAGGGAGTGAACACCATGTCAAGAACCCTCAGATCCAGCTGAGCCTCAAACAGGGGGGCAATGACAGCTCTTTGGTCTGAAGTGAAAGGAAATGCAACACACATTTTATGATTTGAATAAGTATTAAGATGCTACCATAAGGCTTGTGAGCACCGTTTTATAGCTCTACCTGGTGCAGAACACTGCCACTTGAGATCTTATTATAAAAGCTCCATGTTGATCCATTTATTGGCTCCTTGTAAGGTTTTTACAGATACATTTTACACTTCCCCTGTTTGGAATTATTCCAAAACATATCACACACTTCATGACTCTGTATGTGGTCGTGCCCACAAGCAGATTGGGCTCTCGTGGATTTTTCAGGCTGTTTTTTTCTTGCCGTTTGAGTTAATAAATACTCAACCTTTGAAAATCAGAGTTGGCCCAATCTTTTAAATCAAATAATAAAACATTAACATTATCCTGTATATGAATACTTTTACATTTTCATGGCCTCTAATTTTATAATCCAGTTGGATGTTTTTGAGGATGTTTTTACTTTTTATTTGAATTGTTTTTGATTTATTGTTTGTGTTTTGCACTTGTGTTTCAGTTTATTATTGAATTATAAAAGAGACTGCACTGTGAACATTACCTACCATATAAAACTTCCTCCAAGGTTTAAATGTGACTTCTGTTCTTTGGTCAAATAAAAAACTGAAACCTAAATGATTGATGAATGATGGCAGCACGGTGGTTAGCACTGTTGCCGCACAGCAAGAAGGTCCTGAGTTCAATTCCACCACCAGGCCGGGGTCTTTCTGTGTGTTTGCATGTTCTCCCCGTGTTTGCGTGGGTTCCCTCCGGGTACTCCGGCTTCCTCCCACCATCCAAAGACATGCAGCTTGTGGGGATAGGTTAATT